AAATAGTGTGTAGTAGAATCCCACCACAAAGTGAATTTCAACTCGTTTGTGATGAGATTTCGGACCGAACGTCTGTCAACCTTCATGAAGGACGAATTTTGGCCGAAGTGTGTCTTGTATCGGGGGTACCGCGGCCTGTTACCTGAAACCAGATTGCGCCACACGTCGCCGATAATTTACGTCTTGATGAAGCAATTTCTAGTAGTAATCTACTGCGCGGTAGATATGGGAACACACTAGTGGATGTCCCTATACTATTTCAAAGAGACTGACCAGCTAAGTTGTACAAGAAGTGAATTGGTTACTGTAGTCGCCATAATTTTTCAGAATGAAGATCATTCTTCATTCCGAACAAGTAGTTAAGATTTTCGAGAAAAATACAACATAGTAACATCCTGTTTGTAAAAACTGTGTGATATATGTAGTGACAAAGAATTCATTAGTTAAACGTTCTATTAACCCGGTTTTTGAACCCGCTGTGATAGAAACAATGACGTATCTTTACGATGTGTAACTTAGAAAGTAAATTTGCAGTTTGAGTCAAAATGTAAGTATATTACCTTGGATTTGTGTTTGGGTTGCGAGTGTTCAAATGTATTTTGCGCAGGCACATTTATAATTCTAAAACGTGTACGATAAAATACAGTTTCAGTGTCAATTAAAATATGACTACACGGCGATAAAATCGTCGTTTCCTGGGAATTACATAGTATCACTAACACAACTTTCTTGTTAAAATGTGCGTCAAGTAAGTACATCCTTATAGTTATTTTTTTCTACCTTTAACTAGATTTTGATTCGATGCCATGCCCTCCATATCCAGAATGTTGAATGCATTCCTTTAGGATAGATACACTTATCTGCCGGAATTTGTAGTCAGCCTGCTGGTCACTCAAGTCTTCAACGAGGTCAATTGTACGTTACTTAGAGAGGTGATCTGCCTGTAGCTCCCAGGCACCTAGGGTTTCCACCGCAAAAGACGTAAAGCCGAAGCAGTGGATATGGTTGGCGTATTTGACCCATTGCTGACCTGGCAACCAATGCCGCTCTACACTTGAGTGATACGGATTTGAATTAAACTATTAGTAAAGGCACAACAAATAGGCGCAACTGTGTATGGAGGGGTACTGGTTCTTACACTTTTGAAGCACGAAAATAGAATTAACGCAGTGGAAATGAGAGTTTTGACAAGTACGGAACGACACTGAGAACAAATTGCAGCACAGTGTGTTAGGAGAGCGTTACGGCGTCGACGAAGATGACGTAGTGACAAAGATAGAATAAGGGATGCTTCGGTGGTGAGGACATGTACAGAGATTGATGAAAGAAGACTGAAGAAATAGTTTTATAAGGCTATTGTGAGTGGGCGAGTTGGTAAAGGCCGACAAAGGCGAATTTACCACGATCAATTGGAGAACGTCCTGAAAAAAAAAACCGGTTCAAGAGTTTCCATAACCGACGAACATGTATGAAAGCATTGATAGTTGTTGACTACGTGAAAGATATGTGTCAGGATTGTAGCGAGTGAAAAACTGATTTCTACCTATCCCAAAGGAAAAAGAGCGTGAAATAGTCCACAGCGCTGAGACCAGCAGGTCGATAGACAAAAGCATAATTAATAAATTAAATTTCAAGATTTTTATAAGTTTTTGCTCAACTTCTAAGGCAAACGGCACCTAATTGTTCAAAGAGAACAAAGTGGCGATGGCGTCATGATACTGTGTCGGAGAGGTCAAGATGCTTTTTCAAATTTTAGGAAAAATGAGAAAATTTTAATCTCCATTTTATTCCCGAAAATTTTCAAATACATAACTAGAGAAGTTTGTGAATAATGATAGAAGATAATTACTTTACTTACAACTTGCGATTACCATAAACTTGTAGTCCTAATTAATGACAAACTTTGTCGATTATGTTACACCTATTTTATATTACGTTTATCGACGTCCAATAATGGCAAATCCAAAATGATCTCAGTACAGAGTACTAATAAAACCGACCTCAAAAGTCATTCATCTCCTAGTTTGCCATCCTTATAGGTGGAGTATTTTCTTCTATTTTTTCACTATAGTTACAATAGTTATTAATATTAATAACTATTGTAACTATAGTGAAAAAATAGGGTGGTTTGCATTAATATTAGACATAACTGGTTGAAGACTGTACCACCTCAGTCAACCGTGACCATGGGACCTGTAAAGGGCCCGAAACGTCGGTTTGTTTGAAAAAACAAATATACGCGATTTAAATCCGGAAAAATAGTTTCATTTCCTAAGAACCACTTTGTTCAACGGAAGAGATACCGAAATTGACAGCTCATAAATAACAAAGGATTTTAGACTCTATTGCAATATCAGTTGCGACTTCAAGATGTTTGTAGCGCGATCCAACAACATAGAAATGGGAACTTTAATATGTAACCTATTTAATTTAGGAATAGATATTAACAATCATAATTATTATAGAGATAAGGGGGATAATGACAATAATCATGACAAGGACACTGTCAGTTCAAGCGACACTAAAAACATTGATAATGTAATTAGCGATAATTTATTTTGCGACTAACAGTATAAAGGATGAATCACGTTATACCGCGCTGGGGTCGGGACGTGTCTGTTTCGTGCGCCGGTCGGAAAAATTCATGC